GGGAAGGTCATTGATGAAGCAGCTGAAGATGGTTGGGCTTAGGACACTACTCCGAGGAACTCTTGCAGAGATGTCCTGGACCTGAAATGGTTGACCTCCAACAACCACGACCATCTTCCTAAGTGTCAGGTATTACTCCGCCAGTGGAGAGATGCCCCCCTGATACCCATTGATTCCAGTTTTGCTAGGGCTCCTTGATGCCTCACTCAGTCGAATGCAGCCTTGATATCAAGGACTGTCATTCTCCCCTCACTCTCACTCTGGAATTCATCTCTTTTGTCCACGTTTGAACCAAGGCTGTAATGAGGTCAGGAGCTGAGTGGCCCTGGCGGAACCCAAACTGGGCGTCACTGTGCTGGTTATTGCTGGACAGGTGCTGTTTGATAGCACTGTTGATGACATCTTCCATCACTTTACCGATGATCAAGAATAAATTGATGAGGCATCAATTAGCTGGGTTGCTTTTTATATGCAGGACATTCATGGGCAATTTTCAACATTGTCAGGTAGACACTGGTATTTTACTGTACTCAAAGAGCTTGGCTAGGGGAGCAGCAAGTTCTGGAGCATAAGTCTTCCGTACAATTGCTGGAAGGCTGTCAGGGCCATAGCCTTTACAGTATCCAGTGTCTCCAATCGTTTCTTGATATCACATGGACTGAATCAAATTGACTGAAGACTAATATCTGTAATGCTGGGGACCACTGGAATAGGCCGAGATGCATCATCCACTTAACATTTCTGGCTGTAGATCACTGCGATTGCTTCAGCCTTATCTTTTGCATTGATGTGCTGGGCTCTTCCATCATTGAGGATGGAGATATTTGTACAGCCTCCTCCTCTGTGAGTTGTTTAATTGTCCACGAGCATTCACGACTGGATGTGGCAGGACTGCAGAGCTTAGATCTGATCTGTCGGCTGTGGGATCACTCAGGTCTATCTATCACTTGCTGTGTATGTTGCTTGGCATGCAAGTAGTCCTGTTTGGTAGCTTCACCATGTTGACACCTCATTTTCAGGTATGCTGCTCCTGGCATGTCCTCTTGCACTTTCCACTGAGCTAGGGTTGATCCCCTGGCTCAATGGTAATGATTGAGTTGGGGATATACCGGGCCATGAGGATGCACATGGATAGCTGCTATTGATGACCCACAGCACCTCATGGATGCCCAGTCTTGAGTTGCTAGATCTGTTTGAAGTCTGACCCATTTAGCACTGTGATATTGCCACACAACACGATGGAGGGTATTCCCAGTGTAAAGACGGGACTTTGCCTCCACAAGGACTGTGTGGTAGTCACTCTTACTGATACTGTCATGGGCAGTAGCACATTAAGGGCCAATTGTTTGATGTTTGCAGGACAGGTAAGGCCCCATTAGCAGGATCCCCCCTGACATTTCAGCCAGGGAGGCAGGTAACTTGGCATTTTAAGTAATTCAGTACAAGGTTTTTACTTTGAAAGCCCATGATCCTATAGACCTTCTGATAGCCTTTCTAAACTAAGCTTGCCAACTTCAAAAATCTGTGCATATAAAATCCCAAGTCCTTCTGTTCTGCACCTCCCCTTGAGTATTGTATCCTTGTTTTTGTATTGACACAAACAATAAACCTTTACAAAAGACTTTTTAAAAATATTACATTTTTAATCCCATGTGCATTTCCTGATCAATTTTTACATTCTCTTTAGAAGTTTAAATTGAAAATTAACATTTCAGTGCACATTCTTCCTGTGTTTCTATCCGTGAAAATATTTCAATGTGACTGGCTTCTTACTCTGCTCAATAACATGACTATTTTTGGAGGATGCCCTTGACTAGGTGCAAGCTTCAAACTGATGTCAGAAAATCTATGACACAGAAATTGCTAAACTTTTTAGGCAGTGTTCTTTGAGGCCAGTGGTGATTGGTGTAATTTCATTGCTGTGAAATCCTTGCATTATTGTTCCTACTGGTAATGCTAAACTGGCTAGTTTACAGTTCCCCAAACTTGTTCTTTCTTGATTTTTAAAAAATGTAAAGTATTACCAGTCAGCCAATCCTCTGGTATTATTCCTATTTACAATGACTTTTTCATATCTGTAATAATGCCTCTACTATGTCCTCTCTAGCTTCTTCAAACTTACATGGATGCAATTTATACAGAACCTTGTGTTTTTCAATCCCTAAGCTTGCTTATCTTATCGCCTTCCTTTCTAACTTGACCCCTTTTTTTAAATCATTCAGTCCATTAGCATGATCATCTTGTTAGTCTCCCTGGTAGATCCATAGGCAATGTAATTATTTAACATTTCTGCCACCATTATCTGCAAGTTTATTTTTGTGTCTCCGATTAGCCAATCACTATTCTGAATTTTCTTTTATTATTTTTATGTCTGTAGAACACTTTGCTGTTTTATATTGCTTCATAATTAAATTTGGCAGTTCCTCTTTGACTTTCTAATTGTTTTATCAACTTATTTCCTAATGTCTTCACATTTCTTTTTGTCATCCTCTTTATGTTGTCTACCTGCACAGTGTGTGCCTTTTACTTTGCTTTCAGTTTTGCACTGAAATAGTTATTCATTCATAGTGTCTCATTATTGGCTAGTTTTCTTATTTAATGTAGAGTGATTGTTTTATTAGAAAATGTAATTTAGCATTAATAGTGGCCAAAGCGACATTAATACTAAATCTGGTGTTTTTGATTGGAATAACGTTTGTACTTGTATTACAGAAGAATGGGAACAGCCACAAAAGTATAAAAATAATAAGCAACTAATAACTTATTTTGATGAATTATATGTTCAGTGATGCCTTAATTTTGTTGAATTGTATGTTTTAACATGCATACTTACTATGTTTTGTTAAAATGTACACTTTTTTAATTGGCTCTTTTATAGCAGAGAAGAGTATGTTGTGTGGAAGTGAACCAGGCATACAGCATTTAATTACAACATTTAAGCTATAATAGAGAAAAAAAAATTGTGCCTTGCATTATTTTTGCCATGTATTAGATCTTATATTCATGTGCAGATCTTTTTATGTCAATAACTGTATTAAATATATGTCACAGACAAAAATTATCTTGAGGAAAAGTATAGATAAAGATAACTGGGCCATAGGAATCAATGCAATGATCACTTCTATATAGGAAATGAAATGCATTTACATTCTCCTGTTATGTACTTATTAATTTATCAAACATTTACACAGTGGGACTGTCTATTACAAAATGGCAGATGCTCATCTTTATGGGAATGGAAATACAATGCGAACAGTATTTGAGAGTGCTAAAGGTGATAAAGCTAATGGCTGCTAGAGATCAGTTTCACATGATCAAGTCAATTAGCATCATTAAAAATGCTAGATATTGATACAACAGCAAACAATGCTTGTAATAGTGCTAGAAAGGTGTTAGAAATTATTTGATTCTGCATCAAAGGTGTCCTCTTAATAAACCTCCCAATATAATGGCAATCCACCATTGGATATGACAAAATGTGATTAGAATTTCTGGATGACATTTCATGCTGTTTTTGGCTAAGTCGACTTCCTTACTGGATAATTTTAACCACGAATGTGCCATAAAATATGTTGGCTAGTTAGTGCCAAAAACAGAAGATGTGACCTTAGTAGGAGTTCTGTAACCTACGGAGGATTATGCCAATGTAAAACAAAAATCTTTGCTTTGATTCAAAGAATATGAAATGAATGTCAGCTTTACTTTTTCAACCTTTAGAAAATAATACTTGCAGATTTCCCATAGCCCTGCCTAATGTCCAAGGCAGAGGTTACATTGTTGTTATAAATTGTGCATGCGCCTTCAGAAACTCATAAAAATAAATATTAGAGTTATCCAATGTTGATTGTAACTGCTTATATTCCACCACAGCAATGGTTTCATGGCAGTATTTTTAATATCTTAGAAACAACTAAACGTAACTTTCCTAATTACTTAAAATACATAAAATTAAAATGTCAAAATTTCAAACATGCTTCTTAATCTATCAATCATATGTTGATGGATTTCCTGTGGCATTGCTCAGAATGAGTCAGGAGATATGCTTATTGTTTTACAGCACAGTACTGTCTAATAGATTGTAAAAGAAAATTATGTAGGGAGAGTAATCAAAACTATGGTAGATGGAATTAAATGTAGGTATGTATGAGTTGGTGGTCAGTTACTCATTTGGTTAGATAAGTGGTACTCAATAATGTCAATGGTTCAGGTTTAGACCCCATTTTGGCTGAGATTTCTTGCAGCCTGCATGTTTTCTTTGCTCCTCTGTTGTCCAATTGCATGAAGATGTGTGGAAGACAATGATTAATCTGGACAATGGGGTGCTACATTAAAAGAGAGAAAAAAAAGTGCAAAACTATCTATTTTGGGCCAAAAACAGACAGATCTATGTACCTGTGTTAATTAAAAGTGGAGATTCAAAAGAGACTTAGGGTCCATAATCACTATGTTAAGGTTAAGCACAAAAAATGAAGGAAGGATAATAGAATGTTAGCCCTTATAACTAGGAAGCTACAGCATAAAGGTAGGAATGTTTTGTTACTGCTGTACAGAACCCTTAAGAGGATGGCCTTGGAATATATGAAAGAAATGCATCATAGATGTACCAGAATGTTATCATGGTTCTTATGGTTAGATTATGAGGATTACATAATTGTCATTAACCCAGGTCACATAAACTGGTTTTATCTTTGCTGGAATAAGAAAGACTAAAGGATAATTTAACTGAGGATTATAGAAATTTGAAAGAAATTAATAGGTGAGACAGCAACACATTTTTACTGGAGGAGAGCTCTAGGACAAGGGTACATAAACCTTAAAATCACAGCTAGCTCATTCAGGAGTTAAGTTAGGAAATCCTCCTTCATGAAAGGATGGTAGAAGTGTGGAATTCTTTTTCACAAAGAGAAGAAGATGCCAGTTCAATTAATCATTTTAAATTCAAGATCACTAATCAATAAATTACTACTAATTGATGTTCCATTGTGATGCTTAATACTTACATATTCAGGTCGTGACTTTTGCGAATCTACACAGGATATGATCCCTGGCTTAGAAATATGTAGGTAATGGTATCCTCCAGGTAGTATGCCTCCTGTGTTGAAATACAAAAAAAAAGTGCGCATTTTCACATTTTAGGTAAAAATAATGAAGACTTAATGCATTAATAAATATATTTATAACTAATAAATTTGTCATAAGGTATCATTAGTAATTCAAACAAATGTGCAATGGTCATGGTTATAAGTTCCTGTTCTAAGTAACATCAATGTGACAGCCAGGCATGATGCTTGGTAGGGGGCATATATTAGCTGAACAGATCCAGGCAACTCCCCAAAGAGTGAAGAAAAATTGGAGAGAAACCTGTCCCACAATAACATTCAAACATTTCCCAGCTGCTGTCTCAGCCCAAAATTGCAGAGGCCTGGAGCAAGTCATCCACCTGTCCCCTTGGCTGCAGTTGGCATGTGACCCACAAAGACTGTACATTATAAGGAGAAACTCACCTTTGAATAATAAAATAGTCAAAGAGCAAATGTTACTGAAAAGGCAATTTTTAAAAAAATAACTTTTTTTTGCAACTGAAAATGAGGATTTTGTTTTAAAAGAGGGAATTGTTTTTATAATTCTGTTGCTTCTTCCCTGCTGGGTGCTACCAGCAGGATCACAGCTGTCATGGTGCTTCTGTGAATATGCTCCATACTGGAACTGGAGGTAGACACAGGGCTTAAAAACATGCACTTTTGTTTAATTTGTATTGAAGACATAGTTGGATTTTTTTTTACTGAATTACAATGTAAAAAAAACCTACAATATCAAGTGCTCCATTCAAAGCAAGAGGCATATTTTTGATGCATATTTAATTAATAAACACATAAGTGGAGATAATGTATTCTATGAGAACAGGTCCTTTTGGAAAATGCAAAATGTGCAGGAGTGAGTAAAAAGCCAAAAGAAAAGCAGGTTTCAAATGCCATCATAAAAGATGAGCTTTGAGCAGTTTATCTATAACATATCTGAATCTTCAACAGATGCCCATAGAAGTAAACAAATATTGTTTAATAATAATTTGAAATATTGGTTGTGAAGCTCCATGACATCAAGCACCACAAAGTTCCAATTTATTGTGTAGTGGTGAGCAATTGTTTGATTAGCAAGATACTTACTGCTTTATACCACGTTAGATATTTTATGCAAGCTTCTTAAGTTTCCAAACTGAAATGTATATAGTTGCCAAAATTGGAAAAAACAGTTTGGAGCTTGAATACTTGAAAAATCAAGCAGATTTATTTTAACATACATAATTTTTGAAAAGATGTATATTTGAATTATTCTATGCAAATCAGCTTTTTAAAACTGATTTATTAAGAGCCTGCAGGAATGACTTTCTAACAAACCCTTGATGAATATCTTGCTAAAATAACAAGAACAAAAGTCTAAAATAACCCTTTCTTAAACAAGACAGTTTACAACACTACACCAAAGTAAAACAATAGGCTGAATTTTGTAGAAATCAGTTACGCATTAATTTTGTTAAGTTTCATGGAGAGTTTTTCTCTGTGAGGCCTCACACAATTTCTCACTCTATTTTCCAAAATGAGCCTCATTACCTATACACCTCATCCCGACAGTGACTTTATTCATTACATCTTCCCTCTCGCCACAGGCAGAAGTACTCACCACTGCTGGGAATTCCCTGGATTCCCAGCTTCGGCACCATATTTAAAATGCAGTAGTGCACTAAGCCAATTACTGCCAGTCTGGGGCTGCCCTCTTAATTTGTGTGAATTGCCCCAGACTTGATGAAAGACGGAAATTAGCACCTTGCTTGCCTGATAGGGACCTGGAGGTCCTGGGTAGATGGGGTAGTGCAGAGGAGGGCTATTCTTTCTCCCCAGGGCCGGTAGAAAAGACTGTGCTGCCAGGCCCTGCCAATCTGTACTGAGGTTGCTACAAGGGTTAGCGCTGTTGCCACTGTCCAGAAGAAAGCCCAGCAATGCTGGAACAAAGTCAATTACCTTCTCTGCTCCTGAGGGTACGTGCCACCATCTTCTCTCTGCTACCTCACATTCACTCTTTCTGCTACTGCAAACATCTCCCACCACAGCTCATGGTCTATTACCCACACTTGTATACACCATCTTCCCAACTTGCTCTCAGTCACACAATACCCCAACACTCTATTAAATCTGCATGACCCCTACAATGCCTAGTCACTCACTTGGGAACCCTCACCAACTTACTGCTAACTTGCACAGCACCAACAACAGTGCTAGCTATTTGCATCCCATTCAATCTCTCCCTTTATCTCATTCCAGTAGAAAATACCCTGCAATAGGGCAAAAACAGAGCAAAGACAGATGGTGGCATGACCAACATTTGGCTCCTTTCCCTCAAAAAAAGGAGAATCCTTGCTTCGCAGAAGAGGTCTTTGACCACTCATGTGGTGATGCCAAAACCTCCAGCAGCCAAATAGGAATTATTATGTATTGTTATACTGCTCTTCCATTACCATGGGGAGCATGTGCTAGTCACAACTTCATTGCCACATCTCTGTGGCTGGCTGAGGATGATACTTCAAGGTCACTGGCACTCAAAGGATTTCTGGAAACCAAGCGCATGATCAGCCCCAGGCAGGAGAGAACCACATGCCATCAGCAATTTTGAACTTCATAGAAGTGCACAAAAAGACATGGGCCGAGCAGGCAGGTTTGTTGAAAACACTAGGGAAACTGACTTAAAGGTTGGAGGACTCTACCAAGTTGTTTGCACCAAGTTACGTCTGGGATAAGAGTGTCCGGAAGCCTTATTGGACAGGTTGGCAGTTATAATGGACAACCAGGTCCAGTGCACAACGTGTCTGCTGAATATAAATACTTACTTGCGTTACATTACAATTAGATTGGTGCTCACCAACAAAAATGTGACAGGTAGACAAGAGACCTTGACTTTATACCAAGTGCCCATTCGTCACACAGACATGGGGTTAGGCCAGTGGGTACCCAGCTGGAGGAGGAATCACATTCAGGGTGGCCACGAAAACTCCAAAACCAAAAGTCACCCCTGCAGGGCAGGATCTCTCCATCCTAACTGCGGACCACATGTCTGCACATAGACATAATGGGAAGAAAAAGAAAAAGAAGACCTCTTGAAGACATGTAGGTGATAGATGAAACTTCATTGCAAAGACTGTCTCACCGAGATAAATATATGTTCACTGTTCATCATCAACTATGTGAGTGAATGTTTTCCTAACTGCAACTACAAGAATGAAGGTACAGATGGTTGCAATCCGTAGTGCTACATGATATTTTATGGCTTAAAGTGTGAAGTGAGATTATGGGACCTTGGACGTTGCTTGCTAATTTTGCAAATAAGGTAATCTTTCTAGATCACCATACATGCTTGTGTATCACAGCTACTAGTGAGGGTTGAGTTGTGATTTTGCAAGATGTGGTCAAGACTGCTTGATATGGACTTCACATAGTAGAGATAAATGCCTAAAGTTCACATACAGCATTTAGTGCTGCTTTCAACTGCTCTGTATCTGTATAATGCTGCTACCCTTTGAAATGCCTCACATTGCAGAAGGGTGAAGACTGCTCCCTCACCAGGTACATACTCTCACTTTTATCTGATAAATTCTCTGTCTAGTTTCTTTCTGGGAGAATGAGAAACTAGATATAAATGATGTAAGATTAACTAATGATTACATGTTAATCAATGCAAATGGTTGCAAATAGATGTCTCACTAGTGAGATTCCTGTCTAGCCCATGAACACATTGGTTAGTTGGAGAACTGAAGTTTTTTGCTCTCAGCAGTGAGAATCTCCTTACTGTCGATCTCACCCTTTTCTCCCAATATTCTTGCAAATGCCATGCCAGGAGCTGAGAAAATTCTACCCTAAAAATACTAAGTAGAGTAAAATTTAATATTTAAAATAATTTTCTAGATTTCTTTCACTCAGCGAAGGTAGGAATTAGGAATTGGGCATCAAATATTATAAATAGATTGGAGATATTGATAATTTCTCCTACTACAAAGGAAATTAAGGGTTTGTTATATTATTGGTTATGGTATCAGTGGTAAATTTCTATGGAGGCAAATGGAGTGAATTGGCCTAAATTACACTGCCAGCTCATGCTTTACTCTCTACACAATAGAACTCATTCATCTTTTAACTGACTGGTCTATGAATGCCAGATGCAATTTTAATGTTTTCAGTGTTCACATATAAAAAATGAACAAAGGCACCATAAATGTTTCTAATAACAGCTCTGGAATCAATGCAGCACATTCAGTACATTACACTTGTAGTAATATCAAAACATTTCACTTTTTAACAGGGCTGAAGTGCACCAATTTGAATTCTGAACCATTAGATTTAGCAAATGCTATGCCAATTTTGGTCTAATATCCTGTTTGAAGATGCTGAGCATTTACTAAATGAGTGGTATGTAAAAGAAGAAAGATAGGTGATAAGCCTGTGTGACTGGAATGGGATGTTAATGAGGTGTTATATTGGGTGAGATGACCAGATGTAGCATGTTCACTAGAGAACTACAGGCATAAGTTATGCATTTCCAGCTAGCAGATTGAAGTGTTAACTAATGCCGTGATTATAGATTAATTTGAAGCAAGGATTTTAATTACTACAGTGCAGGTCATGGTTAGATTTTTAAACTGATATAAGGATTTAACTGGCAGTGTTCTTTTTCTTTACCTCATAGCAGCTATTAAACTAATCAGTTTTGCAATATCTCCTCTCATTAGTGCAAATGCTAAGGCAGAGCACAAGAAAAGTAACATTCTGGACCAAAATACAGTGATCTGGCACTGAAAGAAACCCTGCCACTTATTTTTTTCCCCATATTCTGCTATCGGTGTTTCTCAATCAGTTGAGTTAAATTAGGAAGTTGTCTTATCTTCATAATCTTTGTAATTCTTGGAATTTCTTTTCTTTATTCATTCATGGGAGGAGGACGTCGCTGGCCAGGCAGCATTTATTACCCATCCCTAATTGCCCAGAGGACAGTTAAGAGTAAACCACATTGCTGTGGGTCTGGAGTCACATGTAGGCCAGACCAGGTGAGGATGGCAGTTTCCTTCCCTAAAGGACATTAGTGAACCAGATGGGTTTTTCCAACAATCGACAATGGATTCATAAAAACCGAAAGAACTGCGGATGCTGTAAAACAGGAAAAAAACAGAAGTTGCTGGAAAAGGTCAGCGGGTCTGGCAGCATCTGTGAAGAAAAAAATCAGAGTTAACGTTCTGAGGAAGGGTCACTGGACCCGAAACGTTAACTCTGATTTTTTCCTTCACAAATGCTGCCAGACCTGCTGAGCTTTTCCAGCAACTTCTGTTTTTGTTCCTGACAGTGGTTTCATGGTCATCATTAGATTCTTAATTCCAGATATTTATTGAATTCAAATTCCACCATCTGCCACGGCAGGATTCAAACCTAGGTCCCCAAAACATTATCTGGGTCTCTGGATTAACAGTCCAGCAATAATACCACCAGGCCATTGCCTCTCAGCTGATATGGTATCAAATTCTAGTTCAAAATATTCCTAAGTAAATATTTTTATGATTAATATTATCCCATGGATAAATAGTAAATTGAAAGAACTAAACTTATGAAACAATACCAATAGAAAAATTGACAGACAAAATTTCACTTTTTGTAACTTTTACTTTAACAACTCAACCAAAATAAACATAAAATAAACAAGAATTAATGGAAAACTGTATTTAATAGAAGCCATAAATTACACTTTAGCCAATACAAGAAAAAAAATCTCATGGAATTACTGACAGTTTCCTTAGCACACATGGCACCACATTCAGGCATAAAGTCCTTGAAAACTCTGTATTCCATAGTGTTCCAGTTTCTATCTCCATGCCTGATTCACCTGATTCTCTTCTCGCACATTCCACTCTCAATTAACCTGAGACCTACAGGCACGTTCTTCAGAAAAATGGCTTGTCATAGCTAATCAATCAGTTCAAATAACTAAACTATTGGTAATAACTGCACATCTCTTATCCATGCTGCTAAATCCATCCTTCAGGCTTCCTTCTTTTTAGCTGTCTTGCATATTCTCTTTCACTCTCTTCTTAACCTTCCTGAACAGTTCTGCTGGTGAAAAGATCTTTAAGGGTCCTGTGTTTTCTTTTGGTTTCAACCAGCTTCTGTTTCCCTAACAACCTGAAGACACAGTCTGATTCGATGTCGTAGCTAGGAACCTAAGGTTACACCCCCTTCCTTGAAACCTCAAAGTTTTAGTTTCTCTTTCAGTCTCAAAAGCGAAACAGAAGTGAGTGCACCAATCAGAACATTTGAAAAGCCATCTGTGCAAACAATAGCTTACACAAGTTCCCCAACTGACCTCATGAAGTGTGGATTTTAAACTATGGTTTTTAGCAGATCTGAAAATTCACTGTCCATACAATACAGATTAAGTGATAAGACTTCTGCTGGCATTAAACGAGATAGATTACTTATTGCTTAAAGTTTGGAGAAACTGCAACCAACTTTTATAAGTTGAATTTTAAATATATTTTTCCTTCTGTTTAGTTCTCTCCTCCATGGTTTACTTCCTAACCTTCAGAATATGAGTCACCAGGCCTAGATCTCTTACATTAGTTCTTCTGTGAGTATTGAAGAAATGGCATGAGATAGAAAACCTCCATTTGATATTCCATTTTTTGGTGGAATAGAAGAACCTCCACTTTGATCCTTGCACAATGTAACCATTGCTAAGTTGTGACTCTTATGTTGGGAGTAAATCTTTTTTAGTATACCATGCTTCTGAATAGCAATATTTTTAGAAAGAGGGTGATAATATTGTGCAACAGATATCAGCAGAAATTATTATAGAAATTCATGGCGGGCTTTAAACAAAGACTAAGGGTAGAATCTTCCCAGCATTGGCGAGAAAGTTGTGAAAATAGGGTGAGTTCAGCAGTAGTGAGATTCTCAATGCCAAAAGCAACAATTTCCATTCTCCAACCAAGTGTTGAAAGGTGAAATAAGAATCTCGCCAGTGAGTGTAAAGAGGTCGGTTTGCATCCATTTGCACTTACAAACATCTTATTATCACTTCCGCTCACTTCATGTATATGCAGTTTCCCATTCTCTCATACACCAAATAGAGATCAATAATTCCTGACATGAAAGTCTGAATAGTTAGCTGGTGACTCCACTTGCACCTGCTCCTCCAGTCCTCCATCTTGGACAGCTGTCATTAACATCACAGGGCACATCTATGGGCAGACAGCCCCTTCCCCCCCAACCCCACACACACACACACACACACACACACACACACACACACACAGGCATCAGACACACGCCCACTGTATCCTCTGATCCAGTTACAATACAATTTTGCACTTCAATGCTGTCTTTTCGAGTGCACCAGCATCTTTCATCATAATGCTGCTGCCATATCTGCCTTGCCTTGTTATTTTGAGCTCTGTAGCCTCAGCCAGAATTTAAAGGCTCAGAATATATCTGTCTTGCCTTGCTGTTAAGCACAGACACAAAGACTGTCATGGTTGTCAGCAGTCATTAGTCAAGGGGGTTGTCAGGTTGCTGTATGGCACAGTCCTGGGATCAGTTCAGTGAAAGGGTAGTGGTGGTCAGCAGGGTGCACTGCTGTGGTAGGGAAGTTGGGGGAGTCATTCATGAGGATTGAGGTCACATGCTGAGATGCAGAGGACAATAGTTGTGAAGAGGGAAAAACTCAATCTATAATGGGAGGAGACAGTAGTGCATTGCAAGACATGGGTTACTGCGAGTGGTGGGGTCATCAACTGTCACAACCATTCTGACTTTCAATGGGGAACAATACAGCATAATGGTTGCAATGCTAATGTGCACTGGGCGTTGGGGAGCAAATAGCACATCTTTAGAAAGGGTTCTAAGATGGGATGAGGCCAAGGTGGAGTGAAATAATACCACGGAGGCTGGTATCCTATCACCAAGTCACCCTTTATTTACACATGCACAGTACATGGACTCTGACCAGCTGTCTCAGAGCCAATCCATAGTGCGAACAGAATCCCTGAGACTGGTGTTTATATCTGTCAGCCAGGGCTGTTTATTGGCCCAGGTTAACAGGTCCAGAACTCATACTCAGTGAGACCCATCTGGCCAACCTCGTTCCAGTCACTACATCTGGTAACCTGTGTAGCTTGGTTCTTAAATAGCAATAGATTTATGATTTTTTTCTGAAGAAGGGTCTAGGCCCGAAACGTCAGCTTTCCTGCTCCTCTGATGCTGCTTGGCCTGCTGTGTTCATCCAGCTCTACACCTTGTTATCTCTTTATCATAGATTTATGAATGTCTGCTTTTATTTGCAATAAGTGTTAGCATGTCATCTCTGTGCCCTGAGAAGCATTTGATTTTAGTTCCCTCCCACTTCGTGCTCAGTGAAAGGCAACTCCTGGCTGACAGCACTTGACTGCGTGCATGGCTGGGCTTTAAAAATGGAGCCAGTGCCAGGAACCCTGCAAGATCTGGTAGTGGCAAATATTTTCACTGCCTGTGACAAGAGGGAAGGTAGGATGAGAGGGTGCTTTAGAGGCGAGTTCCTGGCTGATGAGGCAAGCTTTGGAAAAGAATGTGAGAAATCTCGCTAGCGCTCACAGAGAGAAACGCAAAGAAATTCATCAAAGTTCACCCTAGCTGATTTCTGGCAAAATTCATACTTAGATATTAGTTCTAGAATCACCGTATGAACACTGATGGATGCTTTGCGAGGGTTGCTTTCATGTTTACTACCTGAAACAAATAACAGACAATGATTCTGAGGTCAAGGATTGAAGCAAAGTTCATATGCATTTCCAACCACATACCTATGGCTTTACATCCAGTATAAGTAGGGAGAAGTTTATCTAATTCCGCTGGTGGTTTAGTCACTTGCTCCAGAGTTGGGTCAAACAGATGCAGCATGAGTGCAGCCAGCTGAAATCCAATCTCTTTCGAATTAAAATTTGCATGAGACCATTGGTCAGCAAAGTAACGACGGGAATATTTAGTTAATGATCCAGCAGCTCTAATTGTTATATCATTGGTATGGAAGGTAGAGTCAATTACCAATTTTCCATCAAAGACAAGGCATGCCTTATTGATGGCTCTGAAAGCATCAACATCCACCTTCTTCTTGTCAAAGTTGAAGAAAGCCTGAAAAAGTTGACAAAAAAATTTATAATCAAAGATAGTCCTCTTTACTTGCAGTCACCCTGACCACGTTGGAGGAGAACGCCCCAGAGACTGACAGGATATACATGCTACATCTGTGATGGAATGGTGGGGGTAGCTAGAGTCCTGGTGGCAGCATTAGATAACATATTGCTACTTAGTAATTAACGGTCACTTGCCAAATTGGTGTTAGCAATAACTGAAATATCATGATATGCACTATGCTGAGTTAGCACCCATTTTTGGTTCCTTTCATCTCTGAGTTCTTCAAAGGTGAAGGAGGGGCTAATGAGACAGGATGCCAGGGAATCTTTAGAGGAGGCTGAGCATTCTGAGGATGTGCCATCAGATTACACATGTGCAACCTCCACCAGCACAAATATACATACCAAAATGGATGATTCTTAATTATCCTCTTAAATAGCCCAACACTCAACACTTAACAACAAAAACAGAAATGTTGGAAAAACTCAGCAGGTCTGGCAGCATCTGTGGAGAAAAGCAGACTTAACGTTTCGAGTCCAGCGACTCTTCATAAGAACTGGTTGTAGCTGGGAAAAGATTGGTATAAATGCTAAAGAAGGGGTGGGGGCAGGGGAAAGGAGGAAACGATAGGTGGAGATGGAGCCCAGCGAGAGAGAAAGAGAAAAACAGTTGGGCAGAACAATGAAATGGGTAAATGTGAGTCTGGGAGAGCGAATAGCTGCTAATGGAGACCATTAATAGCTGACGATGGGTTGTTTGTGGTAGCAGCCCATGTGGTGACAAGGGGGTGTATGGGGGTTGGGATAAGAACATGGTAGAAGGTGCTCAAGCACTAAAATTTTTGAACTCTATGTTGAGTCTGTTCTGTGCTGTATGACTCTATGAGACTAGAAAGCTCCAGGATTCCCAACTGAGAAATGAGGTGTTGTTCTTCTAGCTTGCAGTGAGCTCTGCTGGAGCACTACAGCAAGCCTGAGACAGAAATGTTGGTCAGGGAACACCTTGGTGTGTTAAAATGGCAGGTAACTGGAAGCTTGGGGTCGTTTTTGTGGACAGAGTGTAGGAGCTCTGCAAAGCGGTTGCCCAGTCTACGTTTCGCCTACCTGATGTAGAGGAGACCACATTGTGAGCAGCAAATACAGTAGACTAGATTGATGAAAGGCAGATAAATCACTGCTTCACTTGGAGCCTTGGATAATGAGGCAGGATGAATGAAACAAGCAGGTGTTATGCCTTCTGTGACTGCATGGCATGGCACCTTGGGGATGTGGGGAGATGTTAGGAGTGGAGAAGGAGTGGGTCAAAGTGTCCTGGAGGGAACGGTACCTGACAGGGGATGGGAATATATGTCTGATGGTGGCATCCTGCTGGAGGTGGCAAAAATGGTGGCTAATGATCCTTCAGATGTAGATATTGGTGGGATGGTAGTTGAGGGGCAAGGGGGACCCTATCACTGTTGTGGGAGGGAAGAGAGAAAGTAGGTGCTGAAGTGCGGCTGAGGGTCCTGTCAACCATGATGGTGGGGAATCTTCAGTTGAGGGAGAAAGTGGACATTTCAGAAGCTGCCTTGTCAAAGGTGGCATCATTGGAACAGATACAATGGAAACGGAGGAATTGGGAGAACGGAATAGAGCAATTACAGGAAGCAGGGTGTGAGGATGTATAGTCAAGGTAACTGTGGAAGTTGGTAGGTTTTTAATGGATCTATCACATCTGTTCAGAGACCATCTCCAGCAAGAGCATCATGACCAATGATATTCACTTCCAGTACATGGAAAATCTGGTAAAGCAAGTGCATGCTGGCTAATATTAATGTTCTGTTCACTTTAACTGCCATTTTACACAGGGCTCTGAACTGGCATAAGTGCAGGTGGGTCCAGAAATGGAAAATAGAAAAGGGCAATCTAATTGTAATTACAATTACTGTCCACTCATTTCTCATCCCTTCAAAGTTTGCCTTCCCTACATTGAAAACCATGGTTGTTTCTGTCCCTCCTCCTCAAATCGTTACTTGTAAGGCGTTCCATTCCGGTTAGGTTGTTAACTAATTTGGTTCACTATTTATCACTATATCAAACATGGCCTGTTTTCTTGTCCGGCCCTATATTGCTTTGGAAAAGTCCCAAATACATTTTGAAAATTCATTATCATTGTTAATTTACCAGTTCTGCATCTTGCAGTCAGTGTAAAAATTAAGACATCCCTTTAGTAACCACTTGCTATACGTTTTCCTGATCTCCATATTTATATATCACTCCACCAGATCATTAATATCAAGAGGTCTGAAGACAACATCTAAAACAGCCTTACATTTATTTTATCCCTTAAATCTACCCATGATATGTCTGCAGTCTTATCAATATTACTGCAATCCATTATCTTTAGAATTGTAACATTGTCTTTTATGATTTTTCCTGCTTCTTCCCCATTTCCAACTTCCCTGTCCTTTCAAAAGATCCCTTTGGTTTGGTATATTTGACTTGGAATCATGCGCAGCTTGTACCCAGGTCTCTTAAAACAAATTACATTATATCTCTTAAGATAAATTTGTACAGTCTTCTAACTCACTTGCATTATCTCACTTGTATGATTCTGAAGGTGTTTGGCAGGTAGATACTTAACTTAGCTATATTCATTTGTAACCTCATATGTCCTCTTCATTACTTATGTTCCTATCTATTTTTGTATCGACAATAAGTTAAACAACATAACAAGATACAAAATGAAGCAGAGCAAGATAGCGGACAAAGACACATACCTCCCTGAAGCACTCAATGCTTTCTATGCTTGGTTTGAGCAGAATGCCAGTGGTGTGGTGTCACTTGCCATGACACCTCTTCCCTCCGTCACTGCTGCAGACGTTAGATTGGTCTTCGTGGGAGTCAACCCAAGGAAAGCGACCGGCCCAGACAGAGTCCCTGGCCGTGCACTTAGATCCTGTGTGGACCAGCTGGCAGAGGTATTCACTGACATCTTCAACCTTTCCCTCCTACAAGCCAAAGCCCCCACCTGCTTCAAGAAGACCATCATCATCTCAGTACCTAAGAAACCACATGCAACGTGCATTAATGACTATCACCCAGCGGCTTTGACCTCCATCATCATGAAGTGCTTTGGGAAGCTGTTTGTGGCCCACATCAGCTCTAGTCTCCCAGCCTGCCTCAAACTCATGGAATTTGCCTACCAATATATCAGATCCACAGCAGACGCCATTTCCCTAGGCCTGCACTCATCCCTGGAACATCTGGACAATAAGGACACCGACGTCAGACTCCTGCTCATCGACTTACAGCTCCGTCTTCAACACCATTGCTCCTTCCAGACTGATCTCAAAACTCTGAGACATAGGTCTCAGCTCCGCCCTCTGCACTGGATCATCAGCTACCTGACCTATAGACCACAATCAGCGAGGAGAGACAACTGCACTTCCTCCACAATAACATTCAACACTGGAGCCCCACAAGAATACATTCTCAGTCCGCTGCTGCACTCACTGTACACCCATGACTGTGTAGCCAAATTCTGAATGAACGCCGTCTACAAGTTTGCTGATGACACTGCCATAGTCGGATGGATATCAAACAACGATGAGTCAGAATACAGAAAGGAGATAGAGGGCTTGGTGACTTGGTGCAGTGATAACAACCTCTCTCTCAATGGTGGCAAAAATAAAGAACTGATCATCGACTTCAGAAAGAAAGGAGGAATACGTGCTCCCATCTACATCAACGGAGTAGAGGTTGAGAGTATTGACAGAGGCAAGTTCCTAGGAGTGATGATAACTGACAACCTATCCCGGACTTCCCAATGTAGATGCAATGGTCAAGAAGGCAAACAATGCCGTTTCTTCCTCAGGTGGCTCACGAAATTTAGCATATCCACAAGGACCCTCACCAACTTTTACAGGGGTACCGTAGAAAGCATACTGTTCGGGTGCATAATGGCCTGGTATAGCAACTGCTTTTCCCAGGACCGTAAGAAACTACAGAATGTTATGTGCACAGCCCAGACTATTATGGAAGCCAATCTTCCATTCATGGACTCCAGTTACACCTCTCATTGCAGCGGAAAGGCTGCCAGCATCATCAAAGACCCATCCTAGTAATGCTCTCCTACAACCTCTTCTGTCAGGCAGAAGTTACAGAAGCTTGAACACACGCACCCGCAGATTCAGGAACAGCTTCTTCCCACCTGTTATTATACTGATAAATAGACTCTCTAACTTCAAATAATGTTGGTATCATTAATGTTGATCTTGCTTCACGCATGTCCTGTGTGATTTAACCTGTGTGCCTCACTCTGTCCAAGTTTTTTTCACCCTATGACCTATATGTTCTTGCCTACAATGATCTGCCTGTACTGCTTGCAAGCAAAGCTTTTCATTGTACTTAGGTACACATGACAACAAAGCAATCTATCAATCAATCAAGTTTAGCAACGATACTTTCAGTCCCTTCATCCAAGTCATTCATTTAAATCATAAAAGTTGATGTCCAGCATTGATCCCTGTGGCACACCATTGCTACATCTTGCCAATCAGAAAATAGCCAATCTAATCCGAATTTAGGATTCCAATCAGCTGGCCAAGTCTCTCTCCACACCAATATGCTTCCCCCTACAGCATAAGCTTTCATTTTCCATAATAACCTTTTATGTGGGTCTTTCTAAAGTGCCTTTCAGTACTTCTACCAGTTTCCATTTGCCCTCGGTAAACGTTTCTTCTTTAAATGACTCCAAAAATTGGTCAAACATAACTTCTCTTTCACAAAACCATGTTTGCTCTGCCTAATTACTTTAACCTATTCTAAATGTGTTGATATAATGTCTTTAACCTAGCTCCTAATATTTTTCCTATGACAGATGTTAAGCTAACTGGCCTACAGTTTTCTACATTCTGTCTTTGTCCATTTTTTGAATAAAGGAGTTGAATTTGCTATTTTCTAAACCAATGGAAACTTCCTTAAATTTAGTGAATTTTGGAAGATGAAAACCACACATCAAGTATCTCACTAGTCACTTCTTTGAAGGCTTTAGATGAAGTCCATTAGGTTCCAAGTACTTGTCAGCCTGCAGCTGCAACAATTTTCAGTACCCCTTCCCTGATGATTGTAATTTTCTTGAATTCATCCCACCCAATTATTTGGGATGTTATCGCCTTACTTTCTAATGTTAATTCCACAGAATCACCTTTGATTGGAACAATTGTCACTTTGTTAACTCTTTTTTTAAGTATCTATAAAAATTTTTACTGTCTATCTTTATATTTCAGATTGAGAGATTTTTTTTCCAGAGTTTTGATAATTGGAACTGTTTACTTAAAAATGATTTAACTTACTACACATTTCAGACTCAATGGTTGAGAATCAGTGGTAAAAGTTGCGAGGGTTATACGTTGATGGAGCTTCCCATTATTACACTGAGCAAGCAGACAGTTAGAATACACAGAAACGTTAGCTTTCTTGAGTGCTTCCTCTACTGCACTTTCTATCACGGGACTGTTAAAACAACTGCTGCCTAAATTTGAAGGCGTTTTCACCAGATGTACGAAAGAGCCATCGATTCGAAAAGACAGGATGGTATTCACTGTGATGTAAGCGTCCATTGTGCTCCCATATACAATGATATTTCCTGGAGAAAAAGCAATAATTCCAATGAATGCATTGAAGTATTTTAAGAATGCAAGTTAGAGCTGTAATATAGTTACCTTCCTATTTTGAGGTGCTATGAAATACATACAATACAATCAAATAAAATGTACTGAGAAATAGAGTAGTAGAGGAGTGTTGCATGGTGTGTGTGCCCTGAATACAAGAAGTTAAGGATAACAGGAAATAAAGCAAGGATAGGAATAAAGAAATGGAGGAGGACAATCTGAGAGAGAGAAACAGAAAAAAAGATAAATTGGGATACATAATTAGAGGATAAGACAGACAAAAACAAGATAGACAAATCAGGAAATACAGTGAAATAGAGTACTTAACAATAATCAAAATTGCTGTGGCTATGGAGTCATATATAGAACAGACCAGGAAAGAACATCAGATTTCATTCCCTAAGGTACCATATTAAACCAAACATTTTCATAGAAATCAACAATGGTTTCATGGTCACTATTGCTGAGACTGGCTTTTGATTCTAGACTTTATTAATTGAATTAAATTCCACCAGCTGCCATAGTGGGAATGAATTCATCTCCCAAGAGAATTAACCTGAGCCTATAGCTCAGTGACATTATTAATATGCAACCACCTGCTTCAGAATGCGAAAAACACAGCTAAGCCATCCCACAATTAATGGATCATATCTAGTCCTTCCTGTTGATAAGTGACAAGTAGAATTTGCACCAATGGATTTCAGTAAGGAATTTGACAAGGTTCCTCATAGTAGACTGGTTAGCAAGGTTAGATCACATGGCATACGGGGGAACTAGCCATTTGGATATAGAACTGGCTCAAAGGGAAAAAATAGAGGGTGGTAATGGAGTGTTGCTTTTCAGACTGGAGGCCTGTGACCAGCGGAATGCCACAAGGATCGGTAATGCCACTGCTTTTCATCATTATATAAATGATTTGGATGTTAACATAGGAGGCATTGTTAGCAAGTTTGCAGATGACACTGAAATTGGAGATGTACTGGACAGTGAAGAAGATTACTTCAGAGTACAATGGGATCTTAATCAGATGGGCTGATGTGCCGAGGAGTAGCAGATAAAGTTTAATTTCGTAAATATGAGGTGCTGCATTTTGGAAAAGCAAATCAGGGCAGGTCCTGGGGAATGTTGCTGAATAAAGACACCGTGGAGGGCAGATTCATAGTTCTTTGAAAGTGGAGTTGCAGGCAGATGGGATAGTGAAGAAGGTGTTTGGTATGCTTGCCTTTCTTGGTCAATGCATTGAGTGTAAGAGTTGGGAGATCAGGTTGTGGCTGTACAATACATTGGTTAGGCCACTTTTGGAATACTGTGATCAATTCTGGTCTCCCTGCTGTAAGAAGGGTGTTGTGAAACTTGAAAGGGTTCAGAAAAGATTTACAGGGATGTTGCCAGGATTGGACAGTTTGAGCTATAGGGAGAGGCTGAATAGACTGGGGCTATTTTCCCTGGAGTATCAGAGGCTGAGAGGTGACCTTGTAGAGGTTTATAGAATCATGAGGGGCATAGGGTAAATAGACAAAGTCTTTTCCCTGAGGTAGGGGAGTCAAAAACTAGAGGACATAGGTTTAAGGTGAGAGGGGAAAGATTTAAAAGGGACCTAAGGAGCAACTTTTTCACCCAGAGGTTGATGCATGTATGAAATGAGCTGCCAGAGGAAGTGGTGGAGGCTGGCACAAATACAACATTTAAAAGGCATCTGGATGGGTACATGAATAGGAAGGGCTTAGAGGAATATGGGCCAAATGTCTATGACCCTAATGTCGGGCAATGACAATTTCCAACAGGACTAGCCATATAAACACTGTAGCTTTAAAAGCAGGTCAGAGGTTGGGAATTCTGCAGTGAGTGGCTCACCTCCTGACTCCCCAAAAGCCTTCCCAACATCTACAAAGTACAAGTCAGGGCTGTCTTGGAATACTCTTCACTTGCCTGGGTCCGTGTAGTTCCAACAACACTTAGGAAGCTTGCCACCATTGAGGACAAAGCAGCCAGTTTGAATAACACTCTATCAACCACCTTAAGCATTCACTGCTTCTACCAATGATGTACAATGGCAGCAGTGTGTCCTACCTTCACAATGCACTGCAGCAACTTAGCCTGGCTCCTAGAAACATAAAGGCAGCAGTTGCATGGGGACATGCAAGTACTCCTCCAAACCAGACGTCATCCTATTTTGCTGTTCGTTCAATAATCCTAAGTAAACATCTTGGAATATTTCCCTGCGGGCATTTCTACATGATATAGACTGCAGCAGGTCAAAGAAAATAACCCACCAACACTTTCTCAAAGGCAATAAGGGTTTCAGCAACAAAGTGTTGGTGGAGCCAATGATACTCAAATCCTATGAAATAATAGTGCAGCTCTAGTACGGAATTCAGCACCCTCTGTGATTTAGTAATTAGTACGGTGTGTACTAAGGAATTTATTGAGCTCAAATGAGCAACGACCAGGTCAAGATGGCAAGGGTGAACCAGGAAAGAGCTGACTGGAAGGCTGGCTCGCATCCTAACTCTGTTGAAACTGGTATAGATGCAGACTTTAAAAGCTTGTCCTAGCTTATTTCTATGCACCAGCATTTGCTGACTTCATTGGACTGCCTCAATGGAGAATTTAGAATATGGTGCATAATATGAAGGATTCCACTATCAACCTGTACGGGGTGGTGTTTGTGCAAAGCATTGACACTCTGCAATCAACCGTGTGGTATGTGAGAACTGCAGCTGTGTACCTCCACAGGGTTCAACAACCTTATTTGCCTTGCTTGGGTTGTGAAACCAAATGTATAAGGATTTCAACTGGACAACATATCCTCTTTTCTCTTTACTCATTCATGGGATGAGGGCATCACTGGCTAGGCAGCACTTTTTGCCCATCCCTAATTGCCCAGAGTGCAGTTAAGAGTCAACCACATTGCTGTGGGTCTGGAGTCACATGCAGGTCAGACCAGGTAAGGATGGCATTTTCCTTCTCTAAAAGCATTAGTGAACCAGATGGGATTTTCCCAACAATTGACAAAGGATTCATGGTCATCATTAGACTCTCAATTCTAGACATTTATTGAATTCAAATTCCATCTTCTGCTATGGCAGGATTCGAACCCAGGTCCCCAAAACATTAACTGGGTCTCTGGATTAACAGTCCAGCATTAATACCACTAGGCCTCTCCATCCTAGTGCCTTCTCTCCTGCAGATCAGTAGGAGTGTACAGTAGCAATGGCAATCCTGCATTGGAATGGAATGTGATGCCAACTCTCATGATGAAAAAAACATACCTGATAGACTTTCTTGAAGCGCTGTGCCAATTCTCACTTTGATGTTAGACAGATAGCTGGATTAGAATGCCCTAATAGATGTTGAGCTACAGCAATCTGCAGCTGGGCTCTCAGGTCCCATTTCCTAAATTTATTATGGCCTTTCTTTCTCTCTGTAAAATCACAAAAGGCTTTCTGGAATTTTGATGTATAGTGGTATGAATAGAGATGAAAGAGAACTGAAACCCCTGTTTCTGTTCCTTACTGGCAATTAATCAGTGGCCCAAAGTTTTTGATCTGGGTCAGAATTCCCAGGCTGGATACTATATGCCTTGCTGATGGGATTTCGATGGCGAGTGGGTGCCCAGCCTATCACCTTCCCACTCAGCTCTAAGCTAACATCTATAAAGGAAAGGTGGCAGAGTGCTGAAAGCGGTGGTCCATCTACTTATGTAAATAAATAGTCAAGGGTCATTTGAGCTTGTTAAAAGCTTCATTAATCTCAATTTTAGTCTTCCCATATCATAATATGATTAGTGAGGACAGCAGGATGGGAGGGGGCAGCCTGTATATTTCTACAAATTTTTAGAAGTGCAGTAAGGAAGGGGTGTTATTATCTCCAGGGATTGCCCTTTGTGCTTTGGGAGCACTCTCTCAGAAGATAGCATGCCCTCTTCCATCCACCCTGCATGGCCTTTGAAACACATTCCTCCATCCCGCTTGCTCCCTTTCCTAAGATAGTGAAATTTTCCCATAAGGTGTCCTAATACATTTGAATCCAGGTTTCCATTAAGCACTTTTCTTGGGACTAGTTGTGGACCTGGCAACGTGCACAACAGAACATTGGTGCTGCTAGGACTGATAATTGGGTTTAAGTAAAGAGGATTAATTATTTACATGTTCACTCCAAAAATCGAACACTATATCACTCAATCACCACGCACACAAATGCATGCTCAAGGAAAATATAGTGAAAGACGATGGTGCACTTTTACAATTTAGAAACAAAGGAACAGTTTGTAAGTCACATGTTTGACTCATGTTGGAGCAGGTCTGGTGAATGAGGGCTTTTTTCCCACACTTTTAATATAATTGGGTGAAATCAACAATCAAAATCATATGTCAAAGTCATTGCAGGATTATCTTAAAGTAGTGGATTTTTCAACGGATCAGGAAGTTAGTTTCTTGTAGTCTTAAAACTGGGAGATCAATTCTTTGTACAAGTGGACTTGAAATGGAACAGGGCTGGTGACCTTACAACTTTGCTGGCTCTAATTTTCTGTCACAAATGTTGCTGCTGCTGCAGTTTCTCAATGTGTTGTTTGCAGATTGACTAGTTCTCTCCAATACTTGGATTAAGTAAGATTGCTGATCTGGTGCCCAAGTGATCAATATTTCTATTGTTCACCAAGGCAAAATGTGGTTTGAAGTCATTGCTACACAATGGGAGATAGGTAGTGGCCTTTGCATCTACTTATGATTTAACCAGGTTCTTTACAGCTCTCTATGTTAGGTTTTCAACTGAAAGGCAGTGGGTGGAATCTTCCCAGCCCCAGAAATATGAGTTATTACGAGTCAGTTGGGAAAATATGGCAAAATCTGAAAAATGAAATTCTCAATGTCGTGAAGAAAACTCTGAATGTACTGCTATATTTTGAAAAGTGAGATGAGAATCTCACTAATGAGCAGCTACAGGCCATTTTTCAAGTACTTGCATGCCATTA